TCATTCCATGGTTTTGGCTCGCTCTAAGTCTATTGTACAGACAGTCGTCATTATATATATATATATATATATATATATATATATATATATATATATATTAGGTAATGGACTGCAGGTTAAAGTGCTAGGAAGTTGCTTTTACTATTTGGGCACTTGCATCCAGTTAACAGGAGCTACATTTGTGCAGGATGTCAGCACAATAAAAACGTGATCCTGGGGACTAACCTTTGACTGAGTACGTAGCTGAATGTACTGCACATAAACGGGCAAGTGCGTAATGACCCGAAGTATTCGTAACAGTACTCATTCAAAAAATGAAACCAGTGGATTGCATGCTAACGGCCACTTAAAAACCTGGGTTGTGGTCAGTCGAACGACTGCTCTGGTACAAAGGTTTTAAAATATATCGAGGTATAAGTTATGGGGCAGTAATTGTTTAGCTTATATTTCTGGTCGCTGCTCTGACTCAGGATAGTTGTGGGACACTCCCAGTGAATGAGAATCTGCTAGTCTTGAATTTGATAGAAAATCAGATTTGACTACGACCTCAAACTTCGGAGCTGCCAATGAGTTCAAAAAGGCGTTGCGTACTAGATTCTCGTTACTAAATACATGCCCTTCAAATTATCCGACGCTAATTCCGCCAGTGTGCTGTAGAATGCAGTTTTCATGAGATTAGAATATAGTTAAGAATGCGCTGGGTTCTTCACATATGATAAAGACGTCGCTGTCATTATGGTAAGTCTGCGATCTCAGAACAACGAAATAGGTGACTGCAGCTTTAGTTTGGAGCAGTTCTATGTTGGTTGATCCAAGCTTCTGTTAATCACCAAGCGAGCAGTATCGCGTCGCTGAGAGCAAGTTTCCTGTGAACTTTCAAATCTAGCCACAGTGAAACCTTTGATTCTCAATCTCAGTGGGTTTTCACCAATTTTTTTCATCAGAAGGGTGACGCTGGACAACTTTTTCGATGAGGAGTACATGCGGGTGCAAACGCTATGGTAGAGTTAGTCGGTTAATGAAACATAATCGTAGAATGGAACCAAGGTTGTCCAGTTAGCGTACTAATGAGAATCATGAAGAACTCCAATGCATTTTACTTGCAATTGTGCAGGGCACAATGTGTCGTAGAAGAAATAACTATTGAAGACTGAAGCCCATTATTTTATGGGCGGTCTTTTGCAGATTATTAATGGCCAATCTGGAGATCGGGTCTCTAGGCATCTCTGGAATTTATGGATGCTCGCTGGGACATTTCGGCTAGAAGCGAACACACAAATCCTCTTAATACTCACTAAAAACGGGACTACTTTAAGATTCCGTGCTAGACTGAAGAGAGACTACGAATACTGGTGGTCTCGTCATGCGTAGGAGATGGATGTGGTCGCTGACCTTGGCAACAATAGTGCGTTATTCCGTGCGATAATGGAAACTAGTAGCAGGAGACCTGGTGTTAGTGGAACTATGTGTGACGAGAGCGGACAGCATATCCACAACTTGTCAAAACGTTTGGAGAGTTGGGATGAGTACTTCGAAAGGCAATTTAATCGGCCCGAACTGTCAGGTTTCTTTTCCTGCTCCGTGGGCTGTCCCTTTGGATCCGCTCTTCTGCCCAGAAATCGAATGTGAGATCGGACTGCTGCAGTTGAATAAGGATGCGGGTGTAAATGATCTTCATCTAGCCCTCATCAAATTCGGGGGACCAGCTTTTGTGGATGATTTACATGAGTTAGTAGTGAAACAATGAGAGCAGGAAACTGTCTCAGCCGACTAGAGCCGGTACGTTATTGACCGGATCTTCCAGGGAAGCCCACGTTTGGCACGCGGTTACCAATGAGGAATCAGTCTGATCTCTATCGCCTCCAAATTGCTTGCCTCTGTCATCTCTCACAGACTGACTGGCACTCGTAAAACGCAGATTCGAGAGGAGTAAGCTGGGTTTCGTGAAGATCAAGGCTGCATCCATCACATATTTACTTTGTGTCAATTTTTGTAGCACCGTCACATATATTGGCGGCCCACTGTTCTAGTGTTCCTCGACATCAAAGGTGTCTTCGACTGGATGATTAGATGCATCCTTTGGGACTGTCTGCTAGGGAAACGTATGTCCGAGCAAAATGTAAATATTATCTATGCGGTTTACGTGCGTAGCTCGGACAGAGTGAGGGCTTACGGCAAGCTGTCGCCGCCCTACAGTATCTCCAGCGGTGTAAGAAAGCAGTGTACGCTGTCACCTTTCCTCTTCTATTCCGCTACTGACGAAGCCATGGAATTCGCGTTAAACGGTGTGAAGCTGCTTCCTCGTGAACGACTTCTTGATTTAGAGTATGCTAATGACACTACCCTCTCTGTGACAGCTCATGAACGTGATAATCAGCACTGATTGTCATCCGTTTCCAGCCTCGCTTAAGTACAAAGCTTTCCTCCAAGATTGGTATGGATGGCCTCCTGCGCTGACCCTTGGTGGGGATCAGCAAGAATTCGTTCAGAAATTCAACTACCTAGACAGCTGTAGTATCGGTTTTGGAGTCGAAAACGAGGTATCGAACCGCATAGCAAGCGCACGAGGCGCTTTTGCTAACCTTCGATATTTACGACGCCAACGCGACATCACTCTATCCCAGAAGGGTAGAGTGTACAGTGCAGTCGTACGTTCGACCCTAATGTACGGTTGTGAAACATAGCCCGTCAGATCGGCAGACATAAAGATGATAGTTACATATGACCACCGATGCCTTCGCAGTTTGTCTCATATCTGGTGGAAACACTACGTGAGCAACGAGCATGCTGGGCGCCTTGTTTATGGCACAGGAAGAAGAAGCGAAACGCTCAGTACCGTTATTTCCCGCACCAGTCTTCGATGACTGGGCCACGTGTTACGCATGCCAGCCCACGGGCTAAGGCAACCTAGGCCGTTTGCGCACCGGGGATGCGGATGGGAGAAGAAGTGGGGTGGCCAAGCGATGACTTAGTCAAGGAGGTTCTTAGCTTAAATTTGACTTTGGTTTGGGTCCGAAAGACGATGAACACGCCTGGCTGGATACACCTATTGACATTACTGGGAAGTGGCCACAATGGTTTTTGTGCTGTGAGTTTCTTTGTCCTTCCCTCTCCAACCACGATCTCATTGCTGACACATAAGTTCGTGGCGGTACAATAGCCGGCTGGTGGCTCTCCGAAACGATGCCCATCCGCTACTGGTGGTTTAACTGGGGTGCCTCGGTTGCGCTATTTTCTCGTGTATTGCGGCACAATAGCTGTGGTGTTTCTCACCTCTAGCCAACATGTATAACGATGATGACGATAATGATAAAAATAAACCCAGGTAGGTTAGTAACTCATTTGGAAAGATTTGTGCCACATGACAGACATGTCAGTACTGATCATGGAATCAGATGCGCCAAACCAAAACAGGCGTGTCCCAAGAAAAAACAGCAGGCAACTATTCTGCTTATTATTGTCTTCTCAACAAAACCATATAAAGCATTTAGCGCTTAATTAAGTTCCTTTCAATAACCATACATAGCCATTGGCTATCGAGGGTATTGTAAGCGAAGATCCGCCCGGAGAGGTATACATTGAAAATGTACTACTCTACTACACGCCAAACCCTCCTGTGTTGTTAACTATTGACACAAATACACGCCGTACCGATAATGGTGAGCAGAGGTGACGCATCACCTTTGTATATCTGTGGGGCTTCATGTATGATATGCGACTGCGTAACGCAGTTCGATAGACAGCAGCAAGGTTCAATGTATCATTGAACATTGGCGCTACTCTACTGCGGTTAACCTGTAGTGGCGTACTGGGTGCAGCAAACAGGATACATCAGAAGGCGCTGTATCAAACACACGATCCCTTCTGGAAGAGCGTCAGCTACTCTTGAGCAGTCCCGAAGTTCAGTAGACAGCAAAACAGGAGATAACAAACAGCCAAAGCCCACAGAGAAAACAAATGAGCAGGGCGGTTTCACCGTTGTCCACAAGTGCAATACTTGATGTAAGTTGTAGTGACTTGGATCCACACAAGCCACAAATGTGCAAATTCAGGACAGAAAGAAGAAACACGTGCATTGCGAAGCACGCATTTGTAAACAACCCGTAGCGATAAGCGTGCCTCAGGTGCCTACCAGTTCGAGTGCTCGGAACTTGCTCAACTGCAATGGGTAGAACAGAAAATGCGCTCCAATCCTGCCCGGTTTTGTTGAGGCTGTCGCCAACTGGCGGCCGAAATCAAACCCGTGCAAACGACCTGCTCCCGTGGCATGCTTAGCCTAGTCCTAGTAGGGCCTGTGTTCGGTCACTGGAGGTGAGGACCTCGATAGACACGGGATCCTTTATTGATTGCCTGTACCTGATATTCACCAATCCTACCACTGTACGCGGCCAACCGAGAATATATAAAACACTGTCTACATATATACTGTAAGAAGTCATCTAAATAAATTGGTAACAGGTGAGTATGTGGCTTCAAACGGTAGCGTACGGCTTCGAGCGAGGTCGTAAGGACGCTGGCCATTTAAGGAGTTCGACTGTACCAAATTTCGGTGGCAGTAGATTCTAACGGGTAGATGAAAGAGCACTAGTCGTTATGAATGAGAAACCCTAGCTTTTTCAAACCGAGACGCACCGATCTGAATTGTAAAATATTCCACTTCGAGAGTTGTACAACGAGACAAAGAAAATGTGTGCTAGAGTTATGAAAACCGAGTTTACAATTGGCAACACTGGCTGTAGCACTGGGAGTTTAGTAGTGATGCTTTTAGGATTTTGTTGCTAAAACTTTTCTCTGTTAAACTCTTAGCAGCTGATACGCAAATATGGTCATCGAAGACTTGACTTTAGTGTGACATAGCTTCCGGTTCACTCCAGAATTCGGCAATGGTTCATACAAACTGCACCCGAAATAGGGTTCTGTTAGTGCATGAAGATAAAACCAAGAAATGACTGGACAAACAAAAGGGCCAGATGCACATCATCGAAAAACCAGTTGCGTACCTTCCCACAGGCCCGACAGTGGTGTCTTCGATTAAGGACGGTGAATTCCGCACAGCACTCAGCGCACATTGTTGACTGCTCATCCTTGACCCACTCAGCGGCCAAGTTACCACTAGCAGTGGATACATCGGCCTAAGGGTAAAGGTAGAAAAAGAAGAGATTCAGACAGGTCTGTTCCACTCACATACCAAACACTCGCATGACGTTTCCAGCAATCTGCAGTACATCTCCCCTTCACTCGTGATGAAGCATGAAGGAGTTGGCAGACAATTTGTGTTTGGTAAACTGATTGAAACCAAAACGGTGCTTTCTACGCGACAGTGAAGAGGGTCGACTTGGAATGAAAAAATGCTGGTGCACAAAGACGAAGTTAGGCTGTTATCTGTGGTAGCACGGTTTGCTTGTCTGCGTTGATGCTTTCAAGTTCATGTAGACCGAGCATCCCTTGTAATCGTAGCTGTAGGTCACTTGTGACCAAACCGGTCAACTTAGAACAGCCCGTTGAAGATTCGGCTATGTGCATAGATGGTGAGAGTGCATAGCTAATCAAGGCAGAACATAAACAGAAGGGGCTTAAAGAGAAAAGCAGGTGCAAAAGCCAAGTCAAGGGAGCGGTAAGAACAAAGAGTAAGGAAGGGGGAGGATAAGGGTGTTATGCCCTTGCTGGTTAGGCACTAATGATTGTCAGACAACAATTGCATTAAATGACTAGGGAACCTTTTGTGTGAATGGTGTAAAGAGAAAGTAAGTGGACAAGGAGAAAAGTTCAACCCATATCCCGCTGCTCTTCACGAACGGGAAATGGGGATGGTACCAAGTGCCGAATGCACATGGAGAAAACTGTGGAAGCATGTCAGCTCGAAGGTGGCCAACTTGACTTTTCTTTCGATAACTATTCAAAGGTTAGTGAAGTGAGGCGGCAAATCAGTAACGCTAACTGTACATTCACAATGTAGTACGATTGCATATACTGAAAGAAGGTGCAGGTCAAAGGAAATTACCCTGTTTTAAACCACGCTGAAAAATGCAAGTAATGTTGTTAAGTATTTGTACTAAAAACGGAGTATGCTGAAGTAACACGTAAAGCATAACTGCATAAACGAGGTGGATTGTTTGGCTGACAGAAAAGCATTTGGAGATGAGATGTATTCTCCAACAACTCACTTGACACAGAGCAGAGTGGGGATTAGCTATCTGCTAACAAAATAGTCTTCACTGAACCGATGCTAGGTTACATTGTGCAATGAAGTTATAAAACGATGGCGTA